AAACAATGACATGACTAAGAATAAAAGAACACGCCTCTTCATTTCTCTTTGTGTGTGTGTGTGTGTGTGTGTGTGTGCGTTTGTGCGTGCAGGAACCTGTGAATGAAATGAAGCAATTTGATTTACAACGCTGTTGTTTTTTCTTAGCTCCGGGAGATGCAGTTTGCTTCACTGAGATCAGCCAAAAAACCCAGAGTCCTCATCTAACGACCACAACCGAGTCCAACATTTCCGTGGCTAAGTTGTTAAGCAAATTTTGCCCCAATTTTATGATCTTTCTTGCCACGGTTGTTAAGTGAAACAGATGGGAAATAAAAAAAGCATTGGAAGTTCATCAGAACTTAATTTGCAAAGTTGGGATGTACCTCCCTAATTGAAGCTGCATTTTTATTTATTTCTAAGCTAGTATTTTATGGTTGGTATGAATTTAATTTTGCCATTAAAACTTTCAAGTGTTACAAGATTTCTAAAAACTTTCCCTAAGCTGTGAAACGGCAGCCTAAACTCATTTAAAAATAAAACAATAAATAGTTGGAGGTTTTTTTCCCCCTGATGGTCCTTCTTTCAATCTTTCATCAGTTGAGAACCATGGTATATATGTACAAATCTGTAGTATCAACACATCCATTATATCTTTGCTTGTTCCTTTCTCATGAAAACTTCCCCATGACTTAAAAGCTGAGCCAAGGGAAGCCAAGCCAAACCACAAAAAGACTATCTCAATGTTAGAAATGTTCTATCTTAGTAGTGCTGTTGTGGCTCTTCTCCTTAAAGCTTTACACTTCTGCAACAAACTCAAGGCCTGGGAAGTGCTTAGATCTGGCTCACGGGGCCACCTTGGAAACAGTGAAGGACCGGCCCTCAGTGCCTCTGCCAGCAAAAACGGAGCTCAGATGGGTTGCGGGCAGCCCTCTTGGGCTCCATATTCCCTGGCAGAGGGTTGGAGGAGGCCATTGCTGCTGAAAATGGAGCTCAGAGCCCATTTTCGCTAGCAGAGCACTCGGGCCACCAAAGGCGCCCCCGACACGAGTGATGTTGAGCTGGCCATTCCCATCCTGGCCACGCCCCCTGGACCTCCCGAGGTCAAACACACCCCTAATGCGGCACTCAATGAAATAGAGTTTGATACCCCTGTGATAAAGGATCTGGAAGCTGAATTGTATGACGGATGGTTGAGGAAGCTAGGTATGTCTAGCCTATCAAACAGAAAGGATGAGGAGGGACATGATAACTGTCTTCCTGAGGGTCTGTCAAAGAGAAGAAGGGATGGGTCTAGTCTCCAAAGCACCAGAGGGCAGGACAAGAAGTATCGAGGGGAAGCTTATAGAAGAGAGATCCAACCTAGAAGCAAGGAGAAATTTTTTGATAGTGAGAATAGTTAATCAATGGCATAATTTGCATCCTGGAGTTTGTGGGTGCTCCACCATTATGGGTTTTCAAGAAGAGATTGGACAACCATTTTGTCTGGACTGGTATGCTGCCTTGAGCAGGGCAGCAATCTCTTCGTTCCCTTCCAGCCCTATGATTCTATGATCATGCGAGAAACTCTATTATCCATCCATCCATCCATCCATCCATCCATCCATCCATCCATCCATCCATCCATCCATCNCCCTTTCAAAGCCAAAGAGCCAGCGCTGTCCGGAGATGTCTCCATGGTTATGTGGCCAGCATGGCTAAATGCCAAAGGCGCACAGAATGTTGTTACCTTCCCACCAAAGGTGGTCCCTATTTTTCTACTTGCATTTTTTTTACGTGCTTTCGAACTGCTAGGTTGGCAGAAGCTGAGACAAGTAACGGGAGCTCACTCCATTACGCGGTGCTACGGGATTCGAACCTTTCTGATTGACAAGCGCAATGTCTTAGCCACTGAGCCACCATGTTCCTTATAAGCATTTAATAGTGAGAAAATTAATGCAGGATATTTAATACAACTGAATGGAGCAAACATAGGTAAATTCCTTTAAAGCATAGGACTGTCATTCAACAGATTAAATAATCCATACACATAAAATTTATGAAAAAGATTGACAAGATAAAAGGATGCATGGCAATTTATATTTGTAGGCTTAATTTAAATTTGAGTACCTACCCATTACAACCAATGACTTTGTTATAAAGGTAAGAAGGGAGACCTTTAAGGTGAGCGTTATTATCCACATAAACATATTGTAGTTCCCGGGAACGACCTAAATCTGGGTATAAGAAACATTAAAAAGAAAACAAGTAATTATCTTCCTGATAGACATGTTTAAACAAACACATACGCACATACATATACACACACTTTCCTGGCGTGTCAGTGAACATGCCTACCATCTGAGCATGCTAGAAAAAACCCTTTTATTAAATAAATGGAAGCCCGACAGGTTCTGCAATGAAAATTATCCCCTAATTTCCACATTTCTGTCTGGGAATATATGCAAATAAGATTCTTCCACAAGAAATAACAGAAGTCTCATTAAATGGCTGGAAAAAGAACAATGCAGAGTTCCAATTTTCTTATGTGACTTTTTTTTCAAGAAGGCTGCCAAGACTAAGCACGGCTGTTTCATTCCAAGAAAAACAATGACATGACTAAGAATAAAAGAACACGCCTCTTCATTTCTCTTTGTGTGTGTGTGTGTGTGTGTGTGTGTGCGTTTGTGCGTGCAGGAACCTGTGAATGAAATGAAGCAATTTGATTTACAA